TTTTATTCCAAAACTAAAGCCTCTATATGAAGCTTAGAACGGCTCATGATCAAACATAATAGACATTTGTTGTCTGTTATATTTAACAATATACGTTTGACAAGTTCGATTCCTGTCGGAGGACACATATTTTCTACGAAATTTCTCGGACATTCAGGCTGGTATATGTAATTCACACTGTTTATTATAAACAGAACATTTACTTGAATAATTGTATTTATAAAAATAACGTATAAACAGAAAATATATTAAAATAATTGTCAGACTTAGTCCACTTCATTCATATATGTATATATATATATATATATATATATATATATATATATATATATATATTAATACATGAAATGGATTAAGTCCGATAATTTATTATGTTTAGACGTTATTTTAATAGATTGTAGAGGGGCCGTGGCTGTGAAGTCAGATGTAGAAGAAATGCATGTAAGGTTCAGATTCTCCTGCCCGCCGGGCCCAACTACATAAAAAAGTTGGACTTTGATTAAGTCCAAAGAAGAAGGCAAAGAAAGCAAACAAAACACAAGACCGATAATATATGTATATACAAATATATATTAATAACAAGTTACAATACATGGAAACAGTACAAAGGATGAAGTGTATGGGAATATTCTGTATGTGCGTGCGTGTGTGAATATTCTGTATGTGCGTGTCTGTGTATTGTGTTTAGCGTGTTTCCACGCTATCCCTTGTTAAGGCCTACATTTCGAGGTTGTAAGCTGAAAGCCTGATGAAAAGGGGAGATTTACCTCAAGGTGTCGGCGCACAGGCCTGAAGGAAAAAGAGATAGAGGCAAAGGGTCAGCGGCTATTTATAGCCAGGGAAGAGAGACCCCTGGTGAAAGGGTTAATGAACTGAAGGAGGAGTTAACTCCGACAAGATACAACTTATATTTTCTGTTTACACGTTATTTTAATAGATACAATTTATTTAACTATATTCTCTCTTTTTTTTTTAAAAATAAACAGTATTGATTACATTTACTGGCCTGAATTTTCGAGAAATTTCGTAGAAAATATGTGTTTCGCCGACAGGAACCGTTCCTATAACCCCAATGGGAACCATCATTTGATCTGATGTGCGGTTAACCATTCAGCCACAAAGAAACGTTTGCTTAGCAAAGTCCGAATTACTGTTTATAAACAAAAAAATCTTCAATCAGCTCACGAGACGTATATTAACGTAAACATTGACAACATATTATGGAATGTATTAAAGTCCGACAATTATTTCATATATTTTCTGTTTATGCGTTATTTTAATAGATACAATTTATTTAAGTGAATGCTCTGATTTCTTTTATTTTTAAATAAACAGTACTGATTATATTTACCGTCCTGAATGTTTCGCAGAAAATATGTTCTTCTCGAACAGGAATCAAACCTATAACCTCAATAGGGACCATCCTTTGATCTGATGTGATGTAAACCCTTCAGTCACAAACAATACAGAGCATGTACGTAAATGAATTCTATGTATTAAAATAACGTATCAAGAGAATATATAGGAGGTAGGTAATTATTTAAGTTGTGGACTTGTTGACAGCTTGACTGACGAACGTAAGTCTATTCAATTTTTTTCTACGGACGACATATCTGTAAAAAATTCCTAAGGAATAAACGTGAGCACCTTTTTTACATAATTTTTAACTACGCAGTAATCTTAAAAATTTAGGAAAATATTTTCCGTAATCTAATGTTTCATTGAACTTTTCATTGTACTTTGGTTTTAAATGTACTATAGTTAATACTCTTATTTTCTGATAATGTTGTCTATGGATGTCTGTATTTATAAAAATCGGTACGTTTATAATGTCAAAATTCATTTGAAAATCCGAGGAGGAGGTTAATGAATTGTGCTAAGCTTTTTCATTTATAATTAGTGCTTGATAATATCACCTAAACTCTGTAAATTAAGACAGAATTTTAAAAGATTTAAAACTTTATAAATTATTATAATCAAAATTTAAAAAAATGAAAACAATTCTTGTAAAAATTCAATATTCATCGCCATATATTTTAGCGCCATTTTTAACCATCTTTCTTCACAATGTAATTCTTTTTATTAAAAAAATCTTTCCAAAATAAAATATACTTTTCTGAAACTTTATTTGAGGAATATTAACTGATTTAATGTTTAATTAATCTGATTTGAACAAATATTATTTACTGTAGTTTAAAATATCGCAAAAATGCATTTTTAACACGGAGGTGAGTGTTTTATGAGGTGTTGACAGTACTTTTGGCAGCCTGATATTTGGGAATTTTTTGTTTAGATTTTTTTCAAGATGTTCACAGATTGACAACCTAAAATGTATCTATTTTTTTCCGACGGGGGCGGGAGTATGTCTGTAATATTACTTGAGGAATATAACGTGATCGGTTTTTTTTTACATAATTTGTTAACTACCTAGTAATCTTTAAAATTTTAGGTACTTTGGCTTTAAATTCACTATAGTGATCACTCTTATTTTCTGATAATGCCAGGTATGGACGTTGGTATTTTAAAAAAATCGACACGTTTATACACGCACACAAAAAAAAATTCAAAATACTTTTTAAAGTACAAGTGGCCACTTAATTGTAGTAAGGTTTTCCATTTATAATTAGTAAATGTAGTTTTTACTTAATAACAATATCACATAACCGGTTCAAATTAATACAAAATTGTAAAAGATTTAAAACTTTCTAAATTATTCTAATTAAAAATTTAAAAAATTAAAAGAACTCAATAGTGTCCATAATATATGTTATTTAAAAAAGCAATTAAAAGCTTTTCTTATTAAATATTGTCATAGTTATATTTCATTTAAATTCTTCAAGGAGTTTAGAGTATAACTAATATAAACATTAAGCGGTACAAAAATTAATTTCATGATATATGTATGTGTGTGTGTACGTGTGTGCGTGTGATATTTCCTTGCAATAAAACAATATATATGTATGAAGAAGGAATATATATATATATATATATATATATATATATAGGTAACTATAATCGTTTCGAAAAACCTTCGAATTTTTGATTTGCCAATAATCAAATCAATCACGAGGGAAAAAAAGGTTTTAAAAAAAGAAAGAGCAAGAAACATGAAAGTCTGTCGAAAAAAATCGCACAGATACAGGTTTAAAGCCCAAAGAAAAAAAAACCCGACATGAGTAAACAACTAACTAACTAAAAGAGCTCAATGCAACCAGCTTTCCCTGACGATCCGCTTAAGTGAAACCTGGGTAGGTTTGTTTGGCTCACTAGATCTATCTATCTATCTATCTATCTATCTATCTATCTATCTATCACAGCTTATTCATATCTATCTATTACAGCTTATTCATATCTATCTATCTATCTATCTATCTATCTATCTATCTATCTATCTATCTATCTATCTATCACAGCTTATTCATATCTATCTATCTATCTATCTATCTATCTATCTATCTATCTATCTATCACAGCTTATTCATATCTATCTATCTATCTATTATCTATCTATCTATCTATCTATCTATCACAGCTTATTCATATCTATCTATCTATCTATCTATCTATCTATCTATCACAGCTTATTCATATCTATCTATCTATCTATCTATCTATCTATCTATCTATCTATCTATCACAGCTTATTCATATCTATCTATCTATCTATCTATCTATCTATCTATCTATCACAGCTTATTCACATCTATCATCTATCTATCTACACATCTATCTATCTATCTATCTATCACATCTTATTCATATCTATCTATCTATCTATCTATCTATCTATCTATCTATCACAGTTTATTCATATCTATCTATCTATCTATCTATCACAGTTTATTCATATCTATCTATCTATCTATCTATCTATCTATCACAGTTTATTCATATCTATCTATCTATCTATCTATCTATCTATCTATCTATCTATCTATCACAGCTTATTCATATCTATCTATCTATCTATCTATCTATCTATCTATCTATCTATCTATCACAGCTTATTCATATCTATCTATCTATCTATCTATCTATCTATCTATCTATCTATCACAGCTTATTCATATCTATCTATCTATCTATCTATCTATCTATCTATCTATCTATCACAGCTTATTCATATCTATCTATCTATCTATCTATCTATCTATCTATCTATCTATCTATCTATCACAGCTTATTCATATCTATCTATCTATCTATCTATCTATCTATCTATTAGCAAAAATACACAAAAATGGAGAAACGTTTAAAATGATACAGAGGACATAAAAAGATAAAATCAAAGACCTCATTGCTTCCTTTTTCTTTGACAAATCCTAATTGTTTTATTGCCCTTTAAGCAAAGGAAGATTTTTCCACCAGTCTAAGAAGAATTTGGATTACTACCACACACAAAAGACAATGGTCAAACATAAGAAAACATAGGGAAAAAATTCATTCCTTTTAATAATATGTGTAAATAACCATTTTTCGCCTAATGAAGGTCACAAGACCCGAAACACGTGTAACAAAATATATGGAAAATAAAGTATAATATATACTAAAAAATTCCCATTATAACCAAAAAAACGTTTACGCTTCTTCTCTTTAATATATATATATATATATATATATATATATATATATATATATATATAAGAGAGAGAAGAGAGAAAAGAAAAGAAGAAATACCTAAACCTACACACATACACACACACACTATCGGTATTTCTTTTTATTAGTAGCAAGCCTCGGTTTGATCAGTAATGCACGTTTTAGCCTTAAAGACAACATCCGAAATTCTTTGAATCAGTTATGCCAAAATATAACGATTAATAGAATTTAAAATTCAATATTTCACGTTAGAAACAACAGTATACTATTTTATAGATCCCCGCGCCAATGTGGTAGGTCTTGGGACCCAGCTGGTTTATCAAAGACAGGGGAACATATACGAACCCTTTCCACCAACATTTTATTTATAGGTGTATCTGAAGCTTCTCGGATCCCACTGGATGCCTCCTGTTCGCTCATGCGCACATCCTACTGACGTGATAGTCTACAATGAAAGTCGATCGCCTATTTCCTGTTCAGAGGGTTGAACTCCGCGGAAGAAAATCTTATTTAATATGAACGATTTACATGACATTGTTTCCGAAAAACGTGTTGGCCTGTGATGAACTTTGCATTGTTGTGGGAAGGTAGGCTTATTCCCGAATGTCATTCTTGGTGTAAATCGACAAGATAAATTCCCCAGAGAGTAGTCTCTCTACTTTCTTGTGGGGAGATATTTCAAGACTGTCATCGAATGCCTGAAACCGCAGATAGTACCGAATCCTATATATACAGTTTTCCCCCCTATGCATACATTTTTTACAATAATGTTCACTTTGTACAAAGCCCAAGAGCCACTCGAGGTAGAGGGTTACAGAGTAAGAGACAGTTTATAGAGATATGGGGGGTGGGGAGAATGACGGTTAATCCTAGACTTGAACAGATTGTAGTGGCCGGCCATCTCTCAGTTCATATCTTCACACACAAATCCACGTTGAACTTACGACCAGTCATCTCTCTTCAATCTATCTTAGACTGTTCTTATCTATCTATCTATCTATCTATCTATCTATCTATCTATCTATCTATCTATCTATGTCTGTTCTCATCTCTCTATCAGTGTTTGATTTCTGTCTTAATTTCTGTGCAGTTGCGGCCCATACAAACGTGAGAGGTGTGTGACAAATCTAAAAATGGGCAAAATCCGATCAGTCATAAAGTATTTGCAAAAGACGGGTATGGCACCTAAGGAAATTCACGAAGACATGGTACCGTCATTTGCTGAAGATTCCCTCTTCCTATGCAACTGTGAAGAGGTGGACTGCGGAATTCAAGTGGAGCAGGGACAGCACAGAAGATGACCCTCGGTCTGATCGTCCAAAACCTTTGTTATGATCCGTACCTGATCGTTAATTTACGGCATAAGATCTGCTTGAATTAATGAATAATAATAATAATAATAATAATAATAATAATAATCACACCCGGTAGCACACTTATTGGGGTTGGAGTAAAGTTTGTAATTGTTCCTGTTGTTGTGGGCGCCATTGGAATTATGACAGACAAAATCTAAAAATGGCTACATAAAATTGGGAGATTTAATTTGAGCTGAGATGTCAACAGTTTGGCCAAGGTGACGCGGTAACTTTTGCCGATCAAAAATATTTAAAAAAAATAATAATGATTATAATGGAAGGACTAGCAAGGAAAGTAATTATAATACCGGTGATTATTAGAGCACTGGGATGTTCTAAAAAAAAACAAAGAAAAACCCTGTCTACTCGAAACAGCAAAATTACATTGGGAAATATTGAACACAGCCTGACCATTTCATTTTGCAAGAAGTGACGTGAAAATAAACAGCAACTAACATCATATGCTGGACAGAATAATAATAATAATAATAATAATAATAATAATAATAATAATAATAGTGACAATAATAATAATGATAATGATGATAATAATAATGATAATAATGATGATGATGATGATGATGATGATAATAATGATAATAATAATGTTGATAATAATAATGATAATGATAATGATGATAATAATAATGTTGATAATAATAATAATAATGATAATGATAATGATAATAATGATAATAATAATGTTGATAATAATGATAATAATAATAATGATAATGATAATGATAATAATAATGATAATAATAATAATGATAATAATTAGACTGATTGGAAAAGATAGTCATTGAAGGGATTCCTGGTAGCCCAAACCTTAAAGAAATACAAAAAAAAATGTACTCAGAAATACAGCCCATGCCTTACGAAGGGCTTTAACTATGTAAAATGTGTGGGATCTTTGGTTGTTTCAGTGAAAAATATTTTGATATAATTTCTGACCTTAGATCTAAGGTCGGGACTCGAAGGGAAATGAGTATACAAAAATCAAAGGAAATAATAATAATAATAATAATAATAATAATAATAATAATAATAATAATAATAATAATGAGCACTGAAAGATATGCAAGAAGCACAAAATCGAAACCCCTGAGAGATGGTATGACCACCAACCAGACGCAGTTACCCAAAATAACGATGTAACTATCCTCTGGGGCATGTCAATTCAAACTGACAGGGAAATAAAAAATAGACCTGGCATTATCATAAAAAGACAAGAAATTCAAGAAGTGTATGCTTATTGACATAGTAGTACCATCTGAGAGAAACACCTTCATGAAAATTATCGAAAAATTCTCCAAGTACAAGAGCCTGGAGATCGAGATTAACAGGATGTGAAGAATGAAGACTGAGACTGTACCAATAGTAATCGGAACTCTGGACCTCGGGAGGAAAGGAATGGACAATTTTACTAACAGTGTCCCAGGTAACATCAACATACAAGTTGCCCAGAAAATACTAGGAACATTCCATATTCTAAGAAAAGGGCTATCAATTAAATGACAATTCTGCTATAGGACCTAAAGACCATAGTTTGGACCCGGCTTTACAGAATACAAAACAGGAAACATAATATACACAATAATAATAATAATAATAATAATAATAATAATAATAATAATCCGCTTACGGAGATACGACCTGTAATGATTTTGTGGGACTTTACAGTACACACAAACAGAACAATCAAAACTAATCGCCCTGACATCGTGGTTAGAGACCACAAAAACAAAATGTTCCTTGTTATTGACATGGCAGTTCCTGTAGACTTCAATGTATCTTTGAAGATCTTCAAAAAAAAAAAAAAAAAGCTATCAAAATACAAGGACCTTGAAATCGAAATCTCAAAAATGTGGCGCATGAGAACATTAACAGTTCCTGTTGTAGTTGGAGCCCTTGGATTGATTAGAAAAGATTCCAATAGACTCATTGAAGGCATTCCTGGCAGCCCATACTTTAAAGAAATAAAAAATGTACTCACAAGTACAGCTCACACCTTACGAAGGGCTTTATCTATGTAAAATATGTGGGGATTTTTTTTTAAAACTGCTCAGTGGAAAATGTCATGATGCCATTTCTGACCTTAGGTCTCTGATCGGGACCCGGAAAGAAATGAGTATGCACCATAAACGAAAGAAAATATATTATTATTATTATTATTATTATTAATAATAATAATAATAATAATGCTTTTGGAGATCTGTTCAAATTACTACAAACTGACCAAAGGAAAGAAAATATTGACTCTTCATTAAGCATGCTCGTTAACTGCTTATATAAATGATACATGAATTATTAAGCACGAATGAACGCGACTGGGCGTAGACGGACGTAGCTCTCACAGAATTAAATTTCAGAAGGACTCTGCGACCCATAATTTCTTAAACTGGCTGGATAATGTGTCAGGGAGAGAAGCTGGAATTTCAGCAGCGTAATATGATTAACATTTGACTTCAACTTTTGGGATCGTGGGAAGGAAACCTCCTTTTTTTAACAACAATTGCGCATTACAGTAATATGAGAAAACGATATTAATTTTTTAATCATCTTCATTTATTTGAACCAGATGCGTCACAAAATATTGACTTGGCTATTCAAACAGGGTTAACACGTTGCCATGTCCTAAAGCCACGCCTCAATATCAATGCCAGTCAGATTCAATACTTGTAAAATCCACGAAATCTGGTGTTATCTTGAAAGTTGAAGATAAAACGAATAAAAATTAGTTACGACTTTAGTAAGCTCTTAGCCTCATGCGATACAAGCTCAGCTAATAAAAAAAAATAGGAATAAAAAGATTGTGTTGCTCAAATTATTTAAGTGTTTTCCCTTTACTTCTCGTACGGGATTACGGCCACATTACGTTAAAATAGCAGTTCCCGTACGATCACCAAATTTAAACAACGTCGGGCCTGGTCAGTACTTGGATGGGTGACCGCTTGAGAATACCAGGTGCTGTAGGATTGTATGTGCAGGTGGTGTAATTGTTAATCAAAGAGCCGATTTCTAAATCCCGTTGGGTTCGTTATATTCACTTAACGCGCAAAATACTCTTGGGAAAGGTTTTGAATCCACCACTTCTCTCCCCAGCTATGGGTTAATTAGTAAGACTTGTATCATTAAACCATTATTATCTCCCTATCACCAAAAAAATCTTACAATATAAAAATATTTTCTGGCTTTAAATAACCTACAAAGGTTGATAAACTGTAGAAAACGAATCGATCAACCAGTCAATCATTCTTCTATGTGATATTAGACATGTAGGGGTTCAATCACATCATAACAGCAGAAATTAGCTTCGTATTCACGGAGATAAAAGCATACTTGGCAGAAAATTAAACGGACAGAAATCACGGGAAAGCATGATAAATTGTATGTTAATTTTATACAATTTATTTATATTCTTGTGTGTATTTGTGTTGCATTTTTTAGGTTACAATTGTTCTATGGTACATGTGATAAAAGGGAGAAATTTACTACTTCGTATTACAAGCCATATCACAGAAAGAAGTTGAACACGTGTTGCCCGTACCAAGGTTCATGGTGAAGAGATTCAATTTAACGTCATTTGAAAATGTCCGTATTTCCGGCAGGAACAGTTTTTGTTGCATGCTGGGAAAGTTCTTATCATTTTTAATTTTCATTTCATTTATTTTATACAACTTTTTATGTCATTGTTTTATTTTATCTTATTTATAATTTTCATTATTATTATTATTATTTTATATTTTTTATTAATATTAATAATAATAATAATATTCCTACAGACTCCTCTGTAGAATATAGATACAAAGTCTGACTACGATAAATGTTGCTACTGTGGTTTCTGAAGCAAATAGGTTTTCACGGGATGGAGTTACCACTTTCACATCCAGACAGTTTTGAATTAAGAGTGGTCCACACCTAGACTGGTTTTTAACCAAGATTAGAGAGCCCAATCTGTCCTATAGCCGAAGAGAAAAGACATGGATTGTACAAGTTGTGCGAATGTGACAGAAACAAACTCGACTGGAATTCGAACTGTGCACAACAATTTCACTTTTCCCGCCAACAACCGCTACGCTGTAATATTCTTGAAAAAATCTATTTCGCCAAACAATAGCTCGTTTAAAATATTTTTTTTTTAAATAAAATAGATATTTAGATATCCGTTTGTGCTTTATTTAAAAGAAACATTTTTGTAAAAGAAAGAAAAAAGACTGTTCTCATACGCAGATACCAGGCTTACGGCCCCATCACGTTGAAACAATGGTTCCCGTACGATCAAGCAACGTCGAGCCTGGTCAGTACCTAGATGGGTGACCTCTTGAGAATACCAAATGCTGTAGGCTTGGATATATGGGTGGTGTAATGGATAATGGCTCGGAATCATAAGTAACATTGCATAACATTCCAACCACGAACTTCGTCAATCACAGCTAGTGTTTCGTTTGGCTCCTTTCCGAACGTGGACTCTAAATGGATGTCTTTGCTGTCTCCCGAGTGGGTGCTTATATATTTGCCTGTCATACGGTTTTTTCCACGCATGTATATCAGGCGCAGGTAAGCTGATCTCTCCGATCTGCACTCAGCTACTGGGAGGTCTACCCTGAACCTGAAGTCTATTCTTGCATGAGCTAGAGTGAGAGTCACCCTACACGCTACGCACGCATCAAAGAAAAATACGGTAAGTTTGACATGTACAGGCTTCATCTTCTGCAGATTGAAGAAATGTATATTTCAAAATGCAAGTAAAACAAAACAATAAGAGGCACTTGGTCCATTCGTAAAAAAATAGGGATTTTATTTTAAATAGTTTTGTACATTGGTGGCAACATTTGTCAGAATCGAAAAATATCAATTTGTTATCATTTTGAGAAGAGGTGGGCGTCCTGTTCATAATATCGATACCGTGTAATATCCATCCCTGAGGAGTTATCGGAAATTATATAAATGTCAATATTTGATTGATTCGTTTTTCTACGACTTATAATCTCCTTTGCAGATAATTTAAAGCCAGAAAATATTTTTTACATTGTAAGAAGTTGTGTTTTTTGTTTTTAGATAATAATCATTTACTAACACAAGTCCTTCTAATTAACCCATAGCTGGGGGAGAAAAGATGGATTTATAATTTTCCCAAAGTAGTGATTTGTCATCATTTTGAGAAGAGGTAGGCGACCTGTTCATAATATCGATACAGTCGAGTATCGATCTCTGACGAGTTATCGGGATCTTGTTTACGAATGTCAAATGTGAAACAGTGCTTACGTCATTGATATCTGAGTTGGACTGATTTGTTTTTTAGGGTTAATCAACCCTTTGCAGGTAATTTAAAGCCAGAAAATATTTTTAGATTGTAAGAAGTTTTTGGCCGATAATAGTGGTTTAGTGAAACATGTTTTACTAATTAACCCATAGCTGGAGGGAGAAAGGAGTGGATTTATACCTTTCCCATGGTTATTTGTGTTTAAGCGAACTGGAACTCGGCTCTCCGATGAACAATTCAGAGCCATTATCTATTACACCACCCGCACATTCAATACTATATCACCCGGTATTTCCAAGCGGTCACCCATCTAGATACTGACCAGGCTCGACGTCGCTGAGCCGGTGATCGTATGGGAACCAATGTTTTTACGAGATATGGTTGTAAAACTGATATTTACGTATGATATTTATGGTTGTAAAACTGATATTTACGTATGAAAACAGACTTTCTTTTATTCTAGAAAAATATGTCTTTTGAATAAAGAACAAACGTATACATTTTTATGTAGGTACCTCCACAGATTCGTTAAAAAAATGAGCATACCATGGTGAAAAAATTCCCCAAACTTAATAAAAACAAATTTCTATCGTCAAAATGTTTATGTTATTATTAAGAGGAAAGCTCAAAATTTCTTTGTATTATCAAATCATATTTTTGATCCATTTTAGAACGTTAGAAATTTTGGTTTAAAATCTTGTATTGCTTGCGTCAGCGGGGAGGTGGGGGACTAAAGATTAATATAGGAAATTTTGACGTCTGTTTCGCGGTGAAAAACACATTGATTTGGAAATTCTTAGAAAAATCAAATAATTGTTGGATTTCAAATAAACTTTCGAGTCTTATTCACAAATAAGTAAAATAATTTTGGAATGTTTCTTTTTTTTAGATAATCTTGGTAAAAACTTAAAAAAAATGTATTAGGACCTTGAATAAGTTCTCGCTGTTTTCCAACAGATGGCGTTCCCAGAACTGTGTAGTTTCAGATGGTAACGCATCTAAAAGGAAGTACTATAAACAAGCTTGAATTTCAGTGTGTGTCATTTCGCCGTAAACAACTTTGTTTTTCATAGCGTTAAACATATCAGATTACGTATCAAAAAAGTGTATTTATGAGGAATTTTACTGCGATATTTAGTCAAAAGAAATCTGAAGCTGAAGCACACAAAATTCTTGTTGAGTCTTACGGTGACCATGATCTGTCGCAAACAACATGCAGAGATTGGTTTAGACGCTTCAAAAATAATGATTTTGATGTTGAGTCAGTTATAGATTTTACATTGTATCGTTATTATAAACAAGACCCTCGGTTTAAATCGATAAAAAAAAATCAATACTTTTCAATTCTGGCATGTGTCGTTGCTTGATAAAGTTCTAAAGAAAGATAATTTATAAACATTTTTCCCCTGGAAAAATATCTCTATTTTTTATGAGTGGACCAGTATATTTAAATAGTCCCGATTAAGTAAAAAAAAAAAAAACGGAAAAAAAAACCTGAACAGGCAAACAATATTTGTATATCAAGTGAACTAATTCACACCAACTGTCCTAACATTTCAACATTTGTGCGGTATTCTATTGAATCTGAATTTTAGAACCGTGTCAGCATGAACATTGGCCTGGGTAAGGCTTATTGTTAAGCACACTTGAGTAACTGACACAAATTCGCCAGGGACGACATGAAAGAAAATGTCGTTTAACGAGCCTTTCACAGTGAGAAATTTTAAATTGCATCGTCGAAAATGCCGATCAGCGCTTTAAGCCCCTTTGGATTTATAAAATGTTTTGTAGCAGTTTAGGCGTGATGAACTGTTCATTTTTATTATTTCTTTTAAGAAAAACGTCAAGAGACGTTGCCTGTATGATGATAAGAGACATTGAAAATCTACATACATATATTGAATGAAATGTCCATATTCTGAATTGTCACGTCATGAAGGACGAAGGTGGGTTCAACAAAATGTCAATATTCTCTTTGTTTCCCCAAACCCCATTATACCGCATGTGTATCTTTTTAAAGTCTGACATTTTTTCCTACAATAAAATAAATTTTGCAACGCTGTTCAAATCATGCTCTGCCTCCGGCTTCCATGTAAGATTATCCTTTTTCTAATGTTGCGCTGCGAAAAGGATAGATGTGCGGGTGATGTAATCGATAGCGGCTCAATGAGAAATCAGAGATCCGAATTCGAATTCCAGTCGGGTTAAATTCATAAAGATCCTTATATTTAGAATCCGAAAGAGACAGTTGAAATTTATAGGGCACATAATGAAGAAAGAGGACTTGGAAAATTTGATACTCACAGGACAGAGCGAAGCCAAGAGGGACGAGGGGAGTGCAATGAATAACCTAGCAGTCTTGAGTAAATGAATGGCGGAGCAATGTTTAGGAGAGACAATAAAAAGACAAAATTTATGAATTATATAAATTTAAGAGCTATTACCAAACCATATTACCAGTAACATATTAGTATAAACCTATCTACGGCAAACATTATTACTAGTAATTCAGGAATATAAACCTATCAATCACCTTAATTCAAAATAAACTACTAAAGGATAATATATATATATATATATATATATATATATATATATATATATATATATATATAAGAAAAAAAATCATTAGACACTTAAACTTAATTCACATTTAAAATCTGTCCAAGTTATTGGAACACTATATATATATATATATATATATATATAT